TTGTGTAATTGTTAATTTAGTAATGATATTCAGCCCAATCAAAATTCTTTTTTACGTGATAAAATCAAAATGTGATTGATGCAAATCATTACCAAAAAAAATTTTTAACATTAAAAAAATAACAAAAAAATTTTAAAATGAAATATTATGGGCAATGCCCCAAAGAAACTTTATAGTTGATCTAATGTTACAATCATTTAATACTGTTTGAATCCATATTTCACGATTATGATCTTGTGGTTTCTGTGGGGGTCATGGTGTTCCTCGCAAGACCATTTCTACCTCAAGTTTGACTTTACTTTGATTGACGGTAAAGTGTCCTGTCGGTAAAGTGTCCTGTCAGTAAAGTGTCTTGTCAGTAAAGTTTCCTGTTGGCAAAGTGTCCTGTTGGCAAAGTGTCCTGTTGGTAAAGTGCCCTGTTGGTAAAGTGTCCTGTCGGTGAAGTGGGCATCGGTAAAGTGTCCCAGACCCTAATTAAATAAACTAAAAAAGAAATTTATTTACATAGATTTTTAAATAAATGTCATCGCTCTCAGAAATATTGGTTTTTTCATCTAAATATGCATCCAAACAGCTAATTAAATTGCATATGCCTTTGATACATAAAGAATTTACACTTTCTTCCATGTTCAAGTTTTTAACAAAGGACCTGTAATTTGTTAATCAACAATTCCCAAAGTAAAGACTTCATAGAATCCAATTTTGGAATAAAAACCTTTTTGAAACAGGTGTAATTATTTGTTGCTGAATCTAAAGAGTTATTAATAATTTAAAATTCAACAGAATATTAAAATATACTTACTGTTTTAAGTATTTGACCTAATACATTCTTTTTATTTGTCATCCTATATGGATTTTTGACCCAATTTTTGTGCAATGTTTCATACACTACCTGGACAAAATTTTGTGATGATATTTTTCGTTAATTACGCAAAATGCTACATAATAAAAATACATAAAATTTTAACAATTAGATAGCCTAGGTCCTTGTTTGTTTTCATATAAATTTGATTTTTTGTATTTCCAATACTTTATTAATTAAAAAAAAGGAAGTTGATTAAATTTTAAAATGTATTTTCATATTTTTTTCTGATTTTCATTTTTTTTTTCTAGACCTAAATCATGATTGGCAAGAATTTTTTTAAAAAATGTGAAGCATATCCAAAAAATAAATCGGAATTGAAAGTTGCAGCGAAAGAAGAATGGTTAAAAATACCTTATGAAACTTTAAAAAAGCTCATTGAAAGCATGCCAAGAAGAATTGAGGCATGTATTTCTAATGATTGGTGGCCCACTAGATATTAGTCAGTTTTTCAATTATGACTTTTTGAAGATCTTTTCAAAAAAAAGTATTTCATTAATAAAGTACTGGAAATACTAAAAAATCAAATTTTATATGAAACGAACAAGAACCTAGGATATCTAATGTTAAAATTTTATGTATTTTTATTATGTAGCATTTTGCATGATTAATGAAAAACATCATTCACAAACTTTTGTCTGGGCATTATGGGAAATAAATGCTTCATGCATATTGTCATGATTTCGTAAAATTATGCAAGTAATTTAATTTATTAAATGTAAATTTTAAGGCTTCAAAATAAGCTTATAAATTAGACTTTTTAAATAAATATATGTATACACAAACCCTAACCTTTGAAATTTCTTTATCATAAAAAAAAAAGCCTAAAGAAAAAGGTAAAAATTAATAGATTAAGTAAGATGTTTAATATTTCTATTCAAATTTTATAGCACCTAATCAAAGGATTTCATTGAGAAATACAAAAGCACAAAAACTTTCTAATAGAACTAATTTCAACTCTGCATTGAGTGAAGCTGACAAAATCACAGAAAGATTGGCTGTTGCTAAGGATAGGTTTTTAAAGTTAATATTTAATTAAATATTTAAACAATACTTTTATTATGCAGCAAATAGACAACAAAGAAAGATGTCTCAGTTCTTATCATTACGATTACTGAACCAGATAGTGCTGGAGTGGGATAATGGATGACAATATGCAAATGGATGATTTGAAAGATCAAGATAATGTTGTAAAATAATATTTCAAATGCATCAACGAAAGTTTTAATGTTCTCACTTGAGTGCTTTTGCCAAACCCGCAAATCTATTTGTGCAAATTTTTACTGGTTAAAAGCATTGATAATTATTTTTGCATGATACAGTAAATCTCAATATTTTATTTATAACAATATGCCAACAATGTTAATACAATTTCTTCCAATTTATTTATACCATAAATCCTAACAACAATTTCTGCGAATATATATTTATGCTTTACTCTCAAAACTATATTCACTATCATTGAACAGTTCCTTATATTAAGAAATACTAAACAATATCTTCTTTAAATTATATCCTGATCACGTTTCTTAGTGGGTGCCCTTCTAGCTGTTTTCCTCTTCACTACCAAGCCAGGTATGTATCCAAAACTACTAAATAAAATTTATTAAATATTACCTCACTAAAATAAAAGAAAAGAAAAGAAATAAAAAATAATAAAAATAAGAGAAATAATTATGTACAGGATTAGTATGAATTTATTGTTAGAGCTAGATTTATTATCATTACAAAACAAGGAAAAAGTACAAGGGCAAGGGCAAGGATAAGGACAGTTTGTTATTTGTTAAATTATTATATGATATGATTTTTATGATAATGATAAAGATGATTAAGATGATACATGAAGTTAAACAAATTACAATGTTATTTATGCATGTTAAAGGTTCTATCATCTAGTTCTCTGATTTCTTTGAAATCCTAATTTATCCTAATCAAATGTATTCCTTAAACGTTATTTGAACCTTCCGTGTAGAATTGTTATCAAGTTATTCCTGGTCTTAATCAAGTAATTTAAATTCCTTCATTTAAATTTAGGGTCATCCTATATACAGAAAGGTTCTTTTTATGAAATATACAGAACCTATGTGACAAATAAGAATTTATTTTTGAAGTTGGTAAGCAGTCCATAATTCCTACCACCCAAGCCTCACAAGTTTAATCGTCACATATAGATAACTGTCACGAGGATGTTACAAAAATTTGTGCTATTTCCTTTTTTATATAATGAATTGCCATTTTTGGTAGGTCCTGTATATTCCGTAAAAAGAACCTTTCTGTATTAGTATATAACAATCAGTGTTGAAATTTCGGCGGGAGGGTGTAACGTTACACATATCAAAATAGGCTAAAATAGGTTTAAATCCTATGGTTTTGATATGTGTAACGTTACACCCTCCCGCTGAAATTTCAACACTGATAACAATAATATTTTCCTTCTGTTATTCCTTAAAATTTAATTAATATGAGAATTACATTTTAGTAGAATATTTATTTCTCCGTTATTTTCCGTGCAAATGCAAATTTTATAAATTAAAATCATTTCTGATTTATTTATTATTATTGATTTCCGTATAATCATGTATTTTTCCGCAAAAACCATCCAAATCAATTTCTAAATAAGGATAACACGCGTCCAACCCACCAATAAAATTGGATATTTTCATGGTGCTGCGCAAATTTGTGGATTTTTTTTTGCGGAAAAATACATGATTTTATTTTCTGTGATATGTAAAATTACTATTTTACCATATTCATTTTTAATATATACTATATATTATTACTAATTATTACTTTATATATAGGATTGTATAAATAATTCACAAATAATAATTGCAGATATCACCAAATCTATCAGACAAAAAGAACTTGGTAAAGGTTATGTTACAGATTCAGATGGTAATGAATCAGAATTTAAACACGAAACTGTAAATATGTAAAAAAAGGACAATGAGAATAGTGATATAAAAGTTCATAATGATCTATTTGATGATTGTAATACTGAGAACTCATAATATAATAGTAGTAATAATAATAATAAATTTGATTATATTAAAATAATAGATTAATATACTTTATTGCTATTATTACATTAATATAAATTGATAAATTTGTATAATTGCATATTGATTTTTAATGTGGTTCAAAATAAAAATTATGTAATTTGCATCATATAAATATAGAAGGATTCTCTAAAGTAAATCAGGAAATCTTTGGGATATTTTGTCAGAGGCTCTTGGAAGATCTTTGTGGAAGGCAAAGGTTCCTTATTAATAAAAATATGGGGAATCCTTGAACTCAAAAGTTTCCTTGCTAATTCTTTGTTTGTTGGAATTAGAGTCGCCCGATTTGCTAAACAAACCTCTCTTTTTATCAGAGTAGTTAAAGATTTTCTCTTATCTAATGACATTTTAAAAAATAACGAAACAAAATAAATTAATTTAGAACTTGAATTAGGTGGATATAAATCAAGAAAATTCAATTATATGAGAATCAAAGTTGATTTTTTAAAGAGAAATCAGGTTTAAATGATCATAAGTTTTTATTTTAAACAATGCAAGTTTTTTTATTTTGAGATTTTTATTTAGATCATGTGAATCCATTATAATAAAATGCGGACTGTCTAACATCACTAGGTTTTGATTCGAATAAGGTTTATCCGAATGATTTGTTTTATCCATTATGAATTTGATTATTCGAAATAAATACATTGAATGTTTATTTGAATAAAATGAATAAAACGAATAACTCGAATAACTCGAATAAATGGAATAAAGCGAATAATTCGAGTAGGAATTTGTGTTACATTAATGACGATAACAAAAAAGTAAATTTACAGTTGCACAATTCATTTAATAATAAATATAAATCAAATTGTTTAAATTATTTACAAGTTCGAATCAGTTCGAATCAAATCAATGATTTGATGATTCGATTCGGTTTGGATTCGTTGATTCGTTCGAAGTCTTAAACGAGAGTGCTTTGTAAATCCTCAATTCAATTATGTAAATAGAAATCCTAAAGAAGTTAGGTGAATGAACCGTAATAGCTTACGACATTAGGAATCTCTTCTCCACAAACAATAAATACCAACTTGCACACAAAATAGCAACACATTCACTGCATAAGTTAAATCCTAACGATGAATTTGCCATCACAATCATTCCCAAGTCCTTGTGGAATTAAATTAGTAAATTTTATTATCTATGAAAGTCGTGTTTTTTCTTGATATAACTTAGTTCCCCTCTCCTCTTTGCTCAATGACAATGTGCCGAGATAAATTCTTTTAAAAGTGTGAACATCACCGATCATTAGGTTTAAATCTTACTTGATGTTTATCTGCATTTGAACTAAACAACAATGATAAAAATGATGATAATAATCAATCTTCATCCTCGACATCAAAAATAATAAAATGATAATAATAACCAATTCCCAACACCAACGCCAACACCACCAATATTTATATGCTCGTAAAGTTGTTAAAAATGGTTTCCAAACGAATTGTCCTTTGATCCGAATGCAACATCATCAAAGGACAATTATTGAATTTCTTCATACTGTTTTAAATTATTATCCAAATAGATAATTTATATTTGTTAATTCCAGAATGCTGCTGTTAATAAATTAAAGATTAAAATTTTTTTCTTCATCTTGAGATTCGCCAACAATAAAACGAAATTCGGTTATGTTTAGATCATGATTGTATCAAGCTAACATCAAGGGATGGATATTATGTTTGAAGAGGTATTATTATTATTACCATTATCTTTCAGCAGCGATCTATAAAAGGCCAAAAAACCACACATACATACATCCATTCATTTTATAATTAATGCTGACGCTATTATTCATTAATTGATTGATATTGATTATTTTTATACAGACATAGCAAAAAATATTATTCATGAGATATTACTGATTTTTCAAATATGAGAGCAAGCACCTTTTCTCGAGATTGTTATATATATCAAGTGTGCATTTTTTAAAATTAAATAAAATTTCCCAAAAAAATTTTTATTGTAATTAAAAAATAAACATTCCAAAAACAAATTACAACAAAAACGACACCACCGGTTTTTAAGCGATAATAATAAATCAAAAGAGTAAAATGAGTAATTGTATCAATAATAATAAGGATACATGGTATTTATATTACTAAATTTGGTAGTTTTATAATGAATTATTTTCCCAGAATTTGTGACGATCTATTCAGTTACGGTTAGACCAATTCGGTACAACGCCATAATAAAATAATAATCTCTATTACAGAATTAATTACTATTACAAAAACAACAAAGTTCGGATATAAAATGTTACGCTGATTATTTATATTGTTTAAAGTACTCCATAAATAGAAATGGGCACAGAATGAAAACTTAGCAATTAGAAAGGGAGATAGACAAGGCTATTCAATATCAATTTTAGAACAATGTTTTTTATTGATTATACTATATTGAATTTCCAAATTTTTAAATGAATTAAAAGATTGGCCGTTGTATTATTATTATGTAATAATAACCATCAATATAACGAAAAAAATGATCCGTTAAATGATCCGTTAAAGTGAGATTCTGCGTTAATAGGGGGGTTTTTTTTAATACCTTTTCAAATAATTTATCCTTTGTAAATTTTGATTAATTTTGCAAAGGAAAATTTGCCTCATTTTAATATATTTTAATGAAAATTTTAAAAATCATGAAATTAAATTTCAAGAAACAACAAGATTAATTCATTATTGATGATGATCATCCATCAATAACTAATAGTCTATCAAATGGCAACTACCATGATATACTCGTGTTGTGGCCGAAATTACCTTTCTTAATATTAATATGAAATTGCTTTTTTTTTTTAAGAAATAATTTCACTCGCCAATACTAATACTAATCTGGACATTGCAAATCGAATATGGTTCTGTTTACAGAAGAAGAAATGATTGGTTTTATAGTTATGATCCTGACTTCCCAAATCACATAAAGATTAAGCTTATTAGAATTATTTGATTTTGCTTTTTAGGAATTAAAAACTTTAGATAATTGTCTTCAATTTACCCTTTTATCAATTCACTCGTACTCGATGATCATCTATCAGTAAATATAATAACTGTAACAGACGATTATTTGGACAATATTAGCAATTATCTTCAAAGGAGGACATCAAATATTCCGGAGGAAATTTTGCTTTTAGTTCCTTTATTGGCTTTGTATATTTATCTGAATACATAAAATACATTATCAATATTTTTTATATAAAAGTTTTGCAATAGAACTTCAACCAAGGATGACAGACTTTTGTCTTTCTTGCTCATTCTGGACGGCGAAAAATCAAAAAATAATAAAATTATTGAGTACAGGACCTTTTTAAATCTATTTGATAATATAGTACCAGATTGTTTTGTATTTTGTTTCTGGAGACCATTTTGATGAATACAAACAAACATATCAGTTGTGGAACATTTTGAAGATGTTTTTTATATTGGTGAGATCCGATGTATATATAGTGTGCTCAAAGAACATTTACCGGGATTCAACGAATCATCCATTGAACATTTTCATAGCTTGATCTGCTCACGAAAATTTTATTATGACGACAATAAACATAATTGGAACCGTTTATATCTAAATTAAAAAAAAAAGAATCTTGGTGATATGATTAAAATATTTAAAATATACACCAAAAAAAAGGTGATGATTTTGTTTGTTTCCAATGTTCGATATAAAAGGATGGTGGTTACATTATCGACTCCCCAGTTTTGTTTCCTGCCGTGATCACGAAAATTGTGAAATAATGATGACAATTGCGTATTAATTTATGGTTAAACGTGATTATTCACAGAGTATTTAGAAATACAATAAATAATAGATTAGACATCTATATTAAATAAGGAAATACCATAGATAAGTATTAATAATTTAGAGAATTAATTTGTAAATTAAAGCCGTGATGATTTGTGTAGCGCAAAATGTGATTGTGATAAATAAGTACTTGTTTTTCAAATTTTTGCCAAATAAAAATTAAAAACAATTAAAAAAAAATTTTTTTTATTTATTTATTTTTTTATTTTTTTTAAAATTTGATTATAAAATTTTTTTGATTGTTTTTACATATTTTCTCTAAAAAAAAAAAAAAAGATATTTATAGATAAAGAAAAAAAGAGGGTGAAAACTGTCAATAACAATAATAATTATAATATGTAAAAGGATAAATTAAATTATATTTGAGGCAAAATAATTTTAATTACATAATAATAATAATTTAATTATTTTCTAATTAATCCTATTATTTATTTATTTATGCATTGTTGAAATGGAGATGATAATATATTTTATTTTGCAGTATTCTTCTTTATATTTATATATATATATATATATAAGATAACAATGATGATGATATATATATATATAAAGATCATAAAAATTTATTTTTTTTAGAAAAATTTAATTACAAAGACAACAAACAAAAAAAATTCTAATATTAATATATTATGATTATTATAATTATTGCTGGTAATTAATAGTAAATTGTTCTTTTTTTTTAATGATAAAATTTTAACAAAGTTCACCGTAATCATAAGTCGTTTGATCCGTTGTTGTAGATGAAGAGTTATTGTTACTAGAATTATTACTACTGGTAGAATTATTGCTACTAGCGTTTGTTATTGTTGTTGGCGGTAATCTTGAAGTAGTCAGTCTAGTAGAATCATATCTTCCTGCTATAGGAGATAATATTCGATAAAATGAACCACCACTATTACCACCATGATGGTTATTAGCACTACCACCATTGCTACTTGAATCTAAACCATCATCACTACTATCAAATAAACTAGGTACAAAATCTGGAATGACCGAGTAAAAGTCATCAATAAATGAACGATAATTATGTATTGTATTGAGACGTCTTGGTAATGGAGGTAATGGAGGTAACGGTTGATAATCTAGTGATAAAGGTCCAAAAGATAAGTTATATGATGATGATGACGACGACGATGACGACGGTGACGACGATGATGTAGTTGTACTATTGTTGTTGTTATTACTGTTGTTATTATTGTTGTTGTTATTGATTGTATTATTATTTGAATTGTTTGTACGATGAGTTGATCCAACTAAATCTATACCACGTAGAGTTAAATAATCATCTCTTGAAGGATAAGACGATCTAGAAGAGGATCTACCACTATTACTGCTGCTGTGATGGTGAGATGATCTGTGATGATGTCTAGATGATCTCAATAACCTGTTATCATGTTGAGCTAATTGACGAAGTAAATTAACTCGTCTAATAACATTATCCAAAGCAATAGACGATGTTGAATTTGATGATATCGTTGGTGGTTGTGGTGATTGTGACTGTGACTGTGATTGTGAAGATCTTCTTGTCGTTGATGATGATGGTGATGATGTTGTTGATGAAGACGATGATGATGATGATGACGTAGTGTTATTCTCGTTATTATTATTATTATTATTATTATTATTATTATTATTTAAATATTCATGATGACTGCCTTGTGAGCTTTCATTAGTTGTAGAAATATTATCGCTAGGAATAAAATCTAAAAAATCCTCGATACTTAAAATATCTTGTAAATCATCATTAATAGAAGGAGTGTTGTTATTATTATCATCGCTACTACTAATACTACCATTACCATGACGCGATTGTTCAGAAGAACGTTGTTGTTGAGCAGATATTTGAGCAGCAGTCATTTGAGCAGCAGATATTTGAGCACGAGCAAGACTTAACAAACGAGCACGTCTACTGGACAAATTGGAAGAATTGCTATTGCTGTTGCTGTTGCTATTGCTGTTGCTGTTGCTGTTGCTGCTGCTGTTATTGTTATTATTATTTCTTGTGGTACGGTGAAGTTGATGAAGACGTTGAAAATGTTGTTGAACTAAATTATATGGTAAAGGGTATGGTCTTCTAAATCTCTGTCTTGGTATTTGATGATGGTCATTGAAAACAATAAAGTTATTATTATTTGCAGTAGATGGTGATGATGATGTAGAAGAATTTTGATGAAGTGGTGGTGGTATTGGTTGTTGAGTACTGGAAGTTCTAGGGTGAGACCATTCAGGAAATTCTGTTTGTTGATTTGTGTATATATATAATAACAATAAGATTAATAAGATTATTCATTTGACTGTTAAGATTATTAAAATTATTACCATTATCAGCTATTACTACTATCAACTATTATTAAACTTTCTATATATCTATAAAAAATCAATAATAACTAACGATTACCAACCAAATAAACTTGCCCTTGAGTTTTGAAAATCATCGTTGCCAAAAGCCATTTCATCAAAAGTTGATGAATATGAAGGTGATTGTGGAGATTGTTTTGGTGGTATCTGTCTTTTTGACAAAGGTGGAGATACGAACATAGGTAAACCCATATTTATTTAATATGTTATTGATTATTAAAAATGGTAGGAATTTTATATTATTTTTATTTTTGATGATAGATTTGATGATGATTTTTTTTTTATTTAAAAAAAAAGAGATTTTTTGAAAGAAAAAATTTTTTAAAAAAGTCTAAAAAAAAAAAGGAAGTAAATAAATATTTAAATAAATATTTTTATTATTGAAAAAAAAAGGAAAATTTTTTTATTATTATATACGTTTCAGTTTATATATTATTATTTATATATAAATTATCCTGTTATTGTAAGTAGTATAAAAAAGATTAAAAAGTATATAATAAATGTGTGGGTAAGTTATTATTGTTAAAAATAATAATAATTACAATTATTAATATTCATTCAATAACAAATAATAATGATAATAAAAAAAACCTCTGAGAAAAAAAAAAAGATTTTGGGTGATGAAAAATTTTTTTAAATTCTCAATTTTAGGGACGACTCTAACAAATACCGTGGTTACACATAAATCATATATGATATATGTACATATGGGCGGATTTTATCATGCAATACAAGCAAGTAAATATATATATGAATTTTTTAACAGCATATAATAACAAAAATATTTGTCTATTATATATAATAACCCTCCGATCTTTGCAATAATCATTTTTAGCTTTCAAAGAAAACGTCATTCATTACATATTAATATTATTTTGAAATTGGGGCCTTTAAACTATTCGTGTTACAACAAAAATTTGACCCATATGCGTTACTTTGAATGGAGGTGGCACAGCAGTTTAACCTCTGGACCTTTTTGCAGTATACCCCATATTATTATTAGAGATATTCATTCGATTTTTCTTTTTTTATTTGTTTGTTTTTTTTTGAATACATAAATTTTTATTGGATGTGTATAAATATATGTTTGTAATATTTATTTTCCAGCCTTAATATTCTCAATAATTATCGTTAAAAAATCACCCGCCAAAAATCAATTTTATTTATTTATACAGCAGTTATAATTTTAAATCCGAAAAAACTGATTTTTTTAGTAATTTTAATAATAATAACCTTTCTACATAAACGAACTCACATTTTTATATTTGTTATAAGTCCAAAATCAACAACCAATTCATGCAACTCATTTTAAAAAAATAGTAGTTGTATTGGTGGTTGGTGGTATTAGCAGCAGTAATAGTAATATCATGAAAAAAGCGGTTTTTTTTTGATTTTCAGAATCTGCAAATTTTTGTCTTGTATTTATACCACAATTTATCGGTATTTGATCACACGCAGTAAACAAGTTTTCTGTAATAACGTGCGTTCAATAACCAATCTGATTAATTAATTAATTTCCGTTTAATTCCGAAATAATATCTATTTACTATTATTACTATATATACATTATATTAATAGTAAAAATATTATTAATTATATTTAATTAACTACTACGCATGATAAATCCCATTATTCTGAATGAATGAAAAATAATACTTTTTTTTTTCATAATATAATACAACATGGTTAATTATGTACTACCACGCAAACAACAATAAAAAAAATGTTATTTTTTTGATTTATTTTTATTTTTATCCAAGATTTTAAAAATGTTACAAGAAATTGAAACCGCTGAAAATACACCTTTATTATTATCCTCTTCAACCAATAACAACGACAATGTCATAAATAATAACGATGTGTTGGAAGATATTGCATTATTACAACAAGAGGATGATCAGCAAAATAAGATTTTGGACCTTCATGAGGGTGTCTTTGTAACAAAGAAAGCTATCCCTGTATTATTAACTTATATACTACAGTACTCTTTACAAGTCGCTAGTGTTTTCTCACTAGGACATTTGGTAAATTTTTTTTTTTATTTAATTTTTATTTATAGATCTATCACTTAATCTATTAATTGTTATTGTTAGGGATCAATTGAATTAGCTGCTTCTGCTTTAGGATCAATGGTATAACTTTCTTTCTCCCATATATTTGCTGATTTTTTTGTTATATTGAATCAAAAATATTATTAAATTACATTAAATAAATAAAATATATAGTATGCAACAGTAACAGGATGGTCAGTTTTATTTGGTGCAGCTACTGCTCTAGATACACTTGCTTCTCAAGCTTACACATCTGGAAATCCTAAAATGGTAGGTGTGTTTTTACAACGTGGATTAGCAATCATACTATTGGGTTTTATCCCAATTGCTGTGTCTTGGTGGGAGGCAGAACGAATACTGGTCTTTTTGGGCCAAGATCATGAAATTGCTCGACTGTCTGCCTTATTCACAAGATATTTATTGATTGGTGCTCCTGCTTTATTGACTTTCGAAGCTTTAAAAAAATATTTACAAGCTCAAGGTAATTGATTGATCAATTGATTGATTGAAAAATTGAAAAAAGATAATGTTTATCTAATATTTAAATATGATTGTTATTAATTGATAGGAATTATGAAGGCCAGCACATATGTTTTAATAATATGTTCTCCAATAAATATAATATTGAACTATGCTTTAGTTTGGTATCAACCTGTATCACTTGGATTTATTGGTGCTCCTTTTGCAACCTCAATAACCTATTGGCTGATGCTAATTCTGATAATAATCTACATCAAATATTTTAATGGTTATCAAGTATGGGGTGGTTGGACTTACATGGCTTTTCGTGATTGGTTACCTTTTCTTAAATTGGCTTTGCCTGGTGTCATAATGGTTTGTGCTGAATGGTGGGCATTTGAATTAGCAGGTACAATTATTTATCTAATTGGAATGGAATAATTCATTAATTATAATAATAGTAATTATATAATTAATAATCAATAATTTGGGGGTTTTAAGCTCTTGCTGCAGGTTATCTTGGTAGTATTGCTTTGGCAGCTCAAAGTATAGTTTTAACAACTGCCTGTCTATTTTATCAAATTCCATTTGGTATTGCTGTTTCTAGTTCAAATCGTGTTGGTAACTTATTAGGTGCTGGTTTAGATAGTAGAGCAAGAATTGCATCAAATGTCTCTTTAGTATTGGCTGTTCTTGTTTCTGTGTTTAATTCTATTATCTTGTTACTTCTAAAAGATTCATGGGGGTAAATATATATACATGTATTTGTGCATTGTATATGTTTGTGTATTAAAAATTTTTTTTTCATTGATTAAACTAAATATCCCATTCATCTCATAGATATCTATTTACAGAAGATAAAGAAGTTATAGATTTAGTTAGTTCAATATTACCATTATGTGCCTGTTTCCAAATTTCAGATGCAATTTCTGCTGTTGGTGGTGGAATTCTTCGTGGCCAAGGCCGTCAAAAAATAGGTGCCTATCTAAATTTGCCTGTTTACTACTTGATAGCATTTCCAGTTGGCACATTATTAGCTTTTAAATATCATTGGGGTCTCAAAGGTCTTTGGGTTGGATTGGCAATTGCATCATTGGCTGTAGGTGTTGGTATTATTATTGCTATTTTGTGTACTGATTGGAAATATGAAGTTGAAAAAGTTAAACTTAGAGTAAAAGATTCTGAAGAACAAGAACAACAGCAACAGCAACTTTTAATTAGCAATGATCCAACTTTAAATCATAACAATTATGGCAGTGTTGAAGAAGTTGTTGTTGTTAAATAATTTAATTAATTGGTGGCAGATTAATTTTTTTGATTCACTAATAAGATAATTTTTCAATTGATATAGATTTACATTTTACTCATCATATTTTTCTATATAGACTATATAGGCAAATAAACACATAAATCATCATACAAGTATTAATGATTCTATTATTCAATTTTGATCTAATTACATCTTTGATAAATTTACATATTTATGTATAATATTCACTATGCAAATGTTGGTGCATGTGATTGACCAAGATTTAATGCCCTAAAATTGTGACTATAGTGCAGATCATCTATAATTCTATACTAAAACAAAAAATTTTTTATATCATTTAAAAAAATAATTTTTGTTGTTTATGACTCAATTTTCAAAACTTTATTGGCTAGCTTTTGCTTAAACTAAAAATTGGCAGAGCCTTAGCATTTTGAAAATTCTAAATTTTGTTATATACACTTGAGAAATTGAGACTGAGTTTTGTGTAACAATTTTTTTCATATATAGAATATTTTCTTTGGCATATATTGATTTATTTGTATTATCTATTTTCTTTTTTTTATTAATAATAAAGCTCTTACAATAAAAAAGTTTAACAAACATACAGTCAACCCTATCTAAGTGCACCCCCTTTGGAATGAGTGATAGTGTGCACTTAGAGAAACATTGGTTGCACATGACACTAATAGAAATACTACGTCATTATTATCTATTATTGCCAAAAAAAATTTATATTCATAATTATTGATTAAGATAAGATTCCATTGTACTTTGCCTTATTGTATTTATTGTTTTTAAACTAATATATCTATCAAGAAAATTAAAACCAGTTAGGAATTAATGTTAATTTATAATAGAAGTTTTATTTTTTAATGAAATAAAATTTTTGATTCATGTCTTATTTATAATAATTTTAACTACATGAACTTTCTGTGCTTTTTGTTCTTTTGTTCTAATCTTTGTATCTATTAAAAAGAAAGAATTCTTTATTCTCCTGTCACCTAATAAAGTGAGCAATTCTTTACTTGCTTGTTACAAAATAATTCTTTATCATCTCTTATTAATAATAAATTTAATTGCCAATTCATCTATCAATCAGAGCAAATGATCTACATTTAGTAGTAAAATGCGGGGTTAATAAAACATATAAAATTAGATAATTTCATAAATCTCAATTTCCTCACAATTAACTTATGATGTCTTCACA